CCCCCAACCCTTCTTCCACCTCCATCACCTACACCCATCCACCATAGCCGACCACCCCCAACCCTTCTTCCACCTCCATCACCTACACCCATCCATCATAGCCGACCACCCCCAACCCTTCTTCTACCTCCATCACCTACACCCATCCACCATTGCTGACCACCCCCCAACCCTTCTTCCACCTCCATCACCTACACCCATCCACCATAGCCGACCACCCCCAACCCTTCTTCCACCTCCATCACCTACACCCATTTACAATAACCAACCACCCCGACCCTTCTTCCCTATCGTCTTCTTCACCCACTCGAAAGCCATGAGGGCCGCAAGGGGGATGCACGAGACCTCGGATAGGATCGGTTAGGGTAAGTCAACAAGTAAGGTCAATTAGGATGAGAAGCTTCTTGTCTCTCTCTCTCTCTCTCTCTCTCTCTCTCTCTCTCTCTCTCTCTCTCTCTTTCTCTCTCTCTCTCTCTCTATCTATCTATCTATCTATCTATCTATCTATCTATCTTTCTATCTATCTCTCACTTTCCCTCCGTCTTCCTCCATTCCTTCAAAACTCTTTAACCCCTAACTCTTCCATCACCCCTTCCCCCTCCATGGCATGTGACTAACCTCTACCCTCACCTGTTACATTGTCAGGGAACGAACGGAAAGGAACTTAGTCCTCACTTGGTGGAAAGCGAGGGCAAGGGAAGGGTTGTCGGTCCCTTCTGCCACCAAGAAGGAAAGGATACGGGACTATCGAGAGCATTTGCGAAAGCAAAAAGGAGTGCTGATTTTGGACGAGGTCAATTTTGACTCGACCATCTTCCCGGAATGCATGACTAAGGCGATCGCATGGCTTGCCTGTGTGAAAGGGAAGGAAACTCATAAGGGGAATTGGAAGGCAAAGGCAACTTAGGATTGCGGGAAGGGGCGATGTGTTGAACCCAATGGGGATTGTACTTGGTCATTCGTCTTGTGTGGTCTTGCGCAGGTGAGTAGCTAGGGACGATTTGGATGGGGCTGGACCCGCGGACGAGGACTAGGGTGGGAGATTGGCAAAGGAAGGGACTTGGACCCGGCTTAAACCATGGATGCGGGATGAGTCGAGGCCGGGCGCTTGGGTGGATGGTTGATGCATGAACTTGGTTTGTGTGGAGGTTGCATGGAATGTCTCTCACATGTGCAATGCGACCCCTGAAAAGACTAAGGGCGGTCTTGGATAGGTGATGGGACGCTAGAGGCTCTCGCAAAAAAATATAGCGGCTAGGGGTCCGGGCGACGCCGCCTTACCCCAAGGATGCCGCCGGGGCCGCCCAGAGCCGCTAGGCTTAGTGAAAAGGTGCGTGGCCCAATGGATGACGCTTGACCTGCGCACGGTAAGAAGACAAACTCTCAATGAACTCCCTGGACTGCTTCTGTATTGGAAGGAGCAATTGCCTGGTCAGACTTAACCGAATCGAGAAAACGCCACGAGTGCCCAAAGAACTACCATCTTGACGCGAGAGCGGAGCTACATCCCCCAATGTAAGGCCGTCTCGCAAGTGGCCCATCCCTATCCATCTCATAGCACTAGGTGGGGGTGCCCCTGGGACGAACGACCCGCGCCCCGAGCGTGAGCGTGGGCGGGTCGAGCCAAATGGGACCCGCAGTGGGGTCGACCAAGGCTCGAAAGTCCTGCAGGGTACGGCCCCTACAAAATTGGTAGAGATGCTGGGTAGTGGGTTAAATTGAGCCTGACGATCTCGAGGGGGGCGCCCGACGCATGACCGTGTACATAACTAAAGACAAGGAAAGAAGACTTGTGTATGCTCTTTCCTTCGAGGGAATCAGATTTGAGGGCGGCTGGGCGCATGGCAAGGCCAGGCCTGGAGGAATAACATGCATGTTTGCACACACACTCAGCCATCTTCCCTGGAGATGACTCTAGTCCTCCTTCGTTCGGGCTGATGTTCGTCAGACCGGGGAAGCCTTGGGCAAGCCGCAGGTCGACCCTTCCTCTTCGTGTGAAAAAAGGGCTCCGGTTACCTGGCTGGCGGTTGGGATTCCGGGCCAGTCCGGGTTCCAATGAAAATCCCGCGGCGGAGTGATCCGACCGACATGGGTGCTCTCTTTCCTTTTCTCCGGAGCCCAGCAGGCTCCATGCACCACACTTAATGCTTGAAGGAACTTGATATGAACACAAAGGGTAATCGAGAAGGAACAACCTTGCTCTATGAACGGACACAAAAGCGAAAATAAGGGAAGGAAGGGAGTTGCTAGACTCCGAGGAAAACTAGTTCACCTTTGAAGATGCTCACGAGAAGGAACCGGGCACTGTGTATGGATGTTAGGGGTGAATGGCACGCATTGTCCCGAGAGAAAAATTGTGAGCTATGGGTAGGAAGGGCTGGGTGCACCAGAGAAAAGACACTTGTGTTATGTGTTTCTCACTTGGGACTTGTGATTGCATGATTGGGATTCCGAGCGTCCTGCCATTTGGAAGGAAAGGGGGGGTCTGCACCGGCCACTGCGGGTTGCCAAACATCGTTCTCTTTGCAGACTGCCGTTTGTTCGTATGCGGGGGTCAGGCCACCGAGCTGTCTAACGGGAGTTTGTCACGTCGAGTGCTTATTAGCATTCTCGTCCGCGCAGTGACTGGTTTCGGCTCGATTGATCTGTCGGGCGGGGTGTGAAACGTTCCTAAGGCGGGGCCTAGCCTGTGGACTGGCGGAGGGAGCACCACTGCATGGGGACAAAGACGGAGCCCGGGAGACGATCAGTAGCTTCTCGTAGCCTGGTTTAGGAAAGGTTGTTCCTTATCGGACCAATGGAAGTGAGTGCCTGGACGGTTGGCTCCAATGGCCCTACCGAGATGTGATTCCGGAGATTAACGATGGATACACGAGCGGCAAGTCGGGATGGGGTATTCTGGGCAAGAAGGTGAGGGCGACCCCCCACTGTAGTCTGGGTACCACGCTCGTGACGGTCGAGCTGTGCTTGAGGCTTGGGGTAAAACTTTGCCGATAGTAACAGTGGAGAGACCATTTCCGGGAAAAAGGTCGGTGAGGAGATGACCGGTCAGTGTGCGATGATTGCTTGAGGTTTTTTTTTTCTGTGTCTTCCTCCGTAAAGTCTGCCTGATGGATGTTGGGATGGGAGTTGAGCCTCTAGTCTATTCCTACCCCCTGTCTGAGCACGAGTGAGAGAACATGAGGTTAAGGTTGGATAGGAGTCGGAAAGAAAAGGAACCCCGAGAAAGCAATACCGGCTAAGCATGATCGGTTGGGGGTATGGTAGGGCAATGGCACCTGGGAAATGGATAAGAAAAAGTTAGGGAGAACCGGATGAGGGGTTTGAAAACAACTCTCATCTAGGAAAGAAAAAGCAAACCATCTGACCATGACGGCCCGTGTGGTGCTCTCATATGGGAAACAGGGCAAGCGCCGAGAAACAAGATGGCGCGATGGTTGTCGCCTCTTGTCTACTCTAGCGGTCTGGAAATGCCTATAGAGGTAAGGGATGGGGTATCTGTTGTTCTCCCAGAAGAAGGGGCGTGGACCGACCTAGAAACGGCCTATGAAACCGTGATGCTGGATGAGAAGGACGCGTTGCTCTGGATAGAGACAATCTGGACTAAGGTCAGCCTGACGAGATTTTCACCTAGCTTGATAATTCCGGGGAACGGTGGAAGCTCGAGGGTGGGTCTACCTATCACAGGAATCGGAAAATGCAATGGTAGTGGGACTAGTATTGGGCACGGCACCGGATCAGCTGCTTAGGCAAGCGGAACGGGAAGTGGTATGGGCAGCATGTCAGCGGGCAGAAATGGAGATGAAAAGGATGGAGGTGCGAGTGGAACTCGAGGACCGGAAAAATATGAGACGTCTTCTTAGGACAATGAGGTGCATGCTACCCCCGTTTCTGGTGGATGCAGTCTTTGGGACCAGGGATAGATTGGAACGTATATGCCAATCAATGACACACCTGAGGCTGTACCAATGCGCTAGACAAGACTTTTTTAGACTGTCGGTGGAAGCAGGGCCGTTTGAAGGAAACTGGGCGGAAGAATTGGCTGAGGTGTTAAACCTCCTCAGCGCGGACGAAGTTTTCGTTCCTAGTCCGGTGTATTGGCAGATAGTTTACCGAAACGTGGCGGCGGGGGAAACCTTCTTGGAAGGAGTGAAAGAGATGTTCTTAGACGAGGAGGAGGATTTCAACGATGAGGAGGACGGGGACGAGATAGAGGACTGGGACTTTTGAGGGGGCGGCTTACCTGGGGAAAACGGGTTGTCGACTATGTGCAGGTAGGGAGCGATGGCCCGGGAACTCGAACTATGGGACTGCACATGGGAACCAAGACGAACCGGAAGGGGAGTAGAGATGTCAATATCGCCGAGCAATGAATGAAATTGGACCATGTGTGATTGGCGGGGGTAGGAGATTGTGCCAGAGCTATCGTACCTATGGATAAAACGTGTCTGGAACCCGTTGAGGGAAGAGGAAGGATGGGAAGAGATTGCGGAAGGAAGGGTGGAATCAGTCGGGACGATCGTTCTCTCTGAACAAGGCTGGCACCTGTTCTGCACAACGCTCGCGGCAGGACAGAACCCGATGTGGCTTTTAGGGGACGCTGAGGCAAGGGCTCGGCAGGCAGAGGAAAAGTTTGCTAACAAAGGTTGGGATACGGTCAGCAGTAGAGTCGTGATGGGAGGATGGAAATAATTTAAACCGCCTGGCGCCCGAATCAAGACTTAGGTGCCCGAATTCGTGGCGGACTGGTTTGGGGGTTTTGATCACTTAACAGAGGTAGCCGACGCAATGGAGCGAATACACATAGACTGCGCATGGCTGGCGGGGGAATTCTATAGGACGTCCTTGAAATACGGGCTCTTCCATGGCGATAGAGCCCGGGAGGTCCTTATCATTTTGGATATTGAAAGGAATGACCGGCAGGAGGTGGCCCCGAAAACTAGGGAGGCCATAATCCGCCATGAGGTAGCAGCGACACCTTGCTATATGGATGATGTGTTCACACTGTTCGAAGTACTGTGGCTCGACTAAGCGCAGGAAAGCCGTGGGGCCAGGCAAATATAGGAAAAATTGCTAAGATAAGGGAATGGGATGTCTGACCATTGTAGGGTTCAGTATGGATCGCGAGCCAGAAGATCGAAGGCGAGTGTGCGATGGCGCAAAGAAGGACGTTCCTTGAGGAACGCCCCTTGGGCATTGAACCGCCTAGGGAAGTACCGGGTGGGGTAGAGGTTAGCTTGCCGGCGGCAAGTGAAGGCTGGCACCAGGTGGCAGATTGGGTCGGGGTCGAGCTTGCGGAAAATATGGTTTACTTGGTGACGAAAGTTGAGTGGCGTGCGGATGAGAATGGGGAATGGAACCCGGACCCGCGGGGGCATGTGCGTGCAGAAGGACGGTTGTATGTGTCAGAGGATGGGTGGAGGAAATTCAGAGTTCGGCTGGCATCAGGGGAAGACCCATTGAGCATGTTTGAAGGGGCATGGCAATTAGTATGGCGAGCAGGATTTGAGTTCGCAAATCCAGGGGTTGACGATGTAACAGCAGATCTTAGGGTAGCCATGGTCGGGAGTTTCGAATTGCCTAGTAAAAATGTACGAATGAGGCTGCCGCCCTTCCTGCTGGAAAGGTTGGGCGGTCTGGGGCTTGTTAGACAAGCGGTAGCCGGCCTCGCAAGCCTGACATATGAAGATGCGATGGTACATCGAGAATACTATCGGGCCTTCTTAGAAATGGGCCTGTTCAATGGAGAGCAGAAGTATGAGGTGTTGCGCATCCTGCGTGCTGTGTTTAGCACCAGGCCGAGGGCTCCGATCGTGGGAAGCGAGGTCCTGTGGGGTGTCATCCGACGGGAAATAAGTCAAGGGATGGTCTGTAGCGATTGTATGAACCGATGGACGTAGGGACGGACCAATAAAAAAGGTTAAGGAAAGAAAAGGAAGGTTCAAGCTAGAAACCAGGGAGTGTTCGGGCGGGAGCTGAAGATTAAATGAAATAAGTAAAACCGCTTGTTGTTTAAACTGTGCAGGGGAGTACTAAGTCAAAAATGGCGATGAGACGCGCCCGGATGTTGCGACGGTCCACACACCCGCGGCCACCCACGGAAAGTGGAGGCGGATGAGAGGTATCGCTCCCAGCAAGCTACATGATCCAAGGTTTGGACATCGAATGGAGGGCCGTGACCCTGGGAAGAGGACAAGCGTTCATGATGGTGGAATGTTTGTGGGATGGTATGAGGATTAACAGGGGACCGGGAGACGATGTGTACACCGATCTTAGGGTAACGAGGACCATATACCTGCCGGAACTTGGGTGGCATATGTTAGGAACAGAGCTGGCACTAGGACATGGGTTGTTACCAATCTTTCAAAGGGCTACCAGGGTACTGAGCCGAGTAGGCCCGGAAGTGCGAGGAAGGAGGAATGTGGGGTTGAGGACCCGGGTGGAAGTAGGAGGTTGGCGAGAGTTTAAGGCCCCAATGACAGGGCTGAGGTGCCGAGTCCCCCGCTTCATGGTGGACCTGGTATTTGGCGGCCTTAAGAGGGTTAGGGACCTAATGGATTCGACCCTGGTCTGGATCCACCACTTTCAACCACAGACAACGGGGATGTTTTACGATGTGTCGGTCAGGCATGGGCCGCTCTGGGGTAATCAGGCTTGGGAATTACTTGACCTGATTGAAATTTTGATATTTAGGTTGCCTCGCTTGGCGTTTGAGGAGTATGAACCAATAATTGTTAGGGAAATAGAGATGGTAGAAAACTATCTTGCTGGGGTGGCCGTCCTGTTCGAAGAACCGGATGAGAAAAGCAGGCCTGAGGGACCGGCATGAGAGAACGCGTCAGAAAGAAATAGGGAAATTAAGGATGGGTGCTGAGATAAATAGGCGGCCATCAGTGAATAGAGGGGGCAGTGGTTGAAGTTCCGTCCGACCCGATAGCGCGGCAAGGAGGAACTAGGAAGACCACCCGCACCAGAAAACTCTGGGGCATTTGGAGGTCGAAAAGCCAAAAGGGTCATCCTCGATAAGGAGGCCACTGGGCTCAAACACCGCCCTAAGAGCCAAAGCGCGGCAGTAAAAAAATGCCAAGCAGCGACGACAAGTCCCCCAGTGGGAGAAAAACCTGAAGGACGCCCTGGGAAAGAAAAGTCAGGAGAGCTGGGCCGATTAATTTAAGACACAAAAAACATGGGAATAGGTGGGTTTTAGGGCCGGGACTAGGGCAGTTATGAACAATCGGCCACTTTTTCGCAAAAAAATTGTTTTCATGTGCAGGCTAGGTAAAGAAATGGCGACTGAGGAAGGGATCGATGACCAGCAGAGCGGAGGGAATCAGGGCACGAATGGGGATGGGGAACGAAACGGGGGATCAGCCAGGGATCGAGAGTCAGCCAAACTGGAAGGAACCCGAGAAGACGGAAAGGACGCCTCAATTGGAGAAAGCTCGGGGAAAGCCGGGGGTAGCAAAAGGGGACCTCAGGAAAACAGGGAAGGGGGAAACGATATGAGAACAAGCCCTTGGAACTCAGCAGGAGCCACCCCTAAAAAGACAAAAGTCTCGGATGCCAGTCGTAAATTGGCAGAAATAGAAAAGCAGACTGCAGAATTTAAGGCAAGGCTTATCGAGCAGATGATGGCCGAGGATGAGGAGGACCCACAGGGCGCAGGGTATCGTGAGGGACGCAGGATCGGTCAGGACGAGGCCAGGTATGAGGGGAAGGATAATAGTCACAAAGGAACGCCTAGTAAGAAGGGGAAGGACAAGAACGACCCCCCGGCGGAGGGGACGGAAAACGCCATGACCCCGCCTGCCATCGACAGCAGCACTAGCCGATTGCCAGCCACGCCGAAAGTAACAGGGGCGTGCGACGGACTCTGGAGCCTTAGGGAAAGGGTGCTAGGATGGTTTGACCCAGAAGGAACGCCGAAAACCAGGGAGAAGCAGAGGGAAAGCAAGGAAGAGGAAGAGACCAGTGCAACTGGAAAAGCGGGTAGCTCCGAAGGTGGTCTCAAGAGGATAGTCACCACCCTCACCCGGGCACTAAACAAGAATCAGGGATACCTCGCAGATGCAAAGAAGAAACTCACGTTCGATGGGGCAAACATTACGGAGTTTCTGATAGACTATGAGAACCTAGCAGCCTTACTAAAATGGACGGAAGAGGAAAAGATGGAGCACCTAGGGCAGCACGTGTCGCTAAGCTTGGGAAGGGACATTATGACCATCGTCGCGTCCACTGGATCCTGGAAAGAAACCAGGAACGAGATGATGAGGAAATACCTGAAGGCAGAGAAAATGGCAACGGAGGCCGAATTAGCAGCAGTCCAGAGGAAAAACTATGCGACCTACAACGATTTTCTAAGGGCGTTTATGTTAGTTGCTCTGCGAATTCCCGGGGTAACGGACCGCATAATAAGTAAATATTTTCTCAGCAGTTTTTCGAGTTTGATAAGGACAAGATCTTATCAGCATACCAGCAGACCAGCAAGTTTGAATACACAAGGGATGTGGATTTCAGTACGGTAACAGATCTCGCAGAGCAGACAGTGGTAACTGAGACCCTGGCCCTACTTAAGGAAGGGGAGGTTATAGATCTGACCGGGAAGACGGGGAATAAGGTCAAAAAGAGAATAGAAAGTCTGCACGAAAGGGTGCATGGGGTTGACAACAAGATGGACAGAATGAAAAGTGCGCTATTAGTGATGCAGGTGCAAGTATCCCGACCCGCCCTCCCGCCCCAAGAAGCCGTGGTCCCGACAGCTGTGGCAAACCGGGGATTCGACAGAAGGGACCCCGCCAACGAACAATGCAAGTATTGCACCATAATCGGGCATTTCGTACGGGCCTGTCTGAGATTCAATCACGATATCGAGCGGCAGAGGTGCAGCAGGTCCCTCAAAGGCGAGATCCTAGGACCCAAGGGAGAGCGCGTCAATTGGAACTCGCCAGGAGGGATGTGGCGAGCCGTCATCCTCCTGAATAACTTAGAGATAGCTGTCGTAGAAGCAGAGCCGATAGCCGAGATTGTCTGGGACTAGCCTAGGGGACGGGGACCACAGGCCAATTTTATCCTAGAAGGCAATGGCCAGGATAGGGTAAATATCACCACTCACCGAGCCGGCGCAGAAAAGAAGCTTATTCAAGATACAGTAATGGAAGAACTCGCAGGGACTAGCACGGGCCAGCAAGAGACCGAAACCGGGGAACAAGAGAAGGTCTATGGGAAGCCAAGGGAGGACGAACCGGTAGACAAGGCTATGGCGGCAAAAAAGAAGTTCAGGTATCAAATTTCGATCCTGACTTCGCTAGAAATCGATGGCACCTTGAGTAAGCTACTGGGTACCATGGTGTCGGTGTCTTTTCAGACCATGCTGCAAGCCAGCCCGAGGCTGCTTAAAGGACTCAGGCAGTTGCTAACGCGTAAGCTCGTAGAGGTAGAGGAGGCCCCGGAACTGCAAGAGCAGGACACGGAAGAGGCCGAGGGGCCGCAAGGGGTCTCCAACCTCCAAAGCATTCTAGGGGGCCTGGGAGATTTGGAAAAAGCCTTTGCGGACATCCGCCTAAGCCTACCGGATCGTGAAGGTGGCGAAGTTATGAGGGCGCCACCCGGGACAAAGCTTAGCTTTCATGCATTACCAGTTGGGAAACTTAAAGTTCAAATCGAAACTCACCACACTGACGCGTTAGTGGACGGCGGAGCAGAAATCACCCTCATACGACGAGATTTCGCAACGGTCATGGGGTGTACGGTAAACAAAGAAGTAGCAAGGAGGGTATGTCACCAAATGTGCAGTCAGGGCAGGAATCCGGGAATCCATCTGGTCCTTTCAGCGGATGACCGTGATGGAAGAAATGGATCACGACGTAATCCTCGGGAGACCGTGGTGCGCCAATGTGGAAATGATAGGAATGCATCTGCATGACGACACATACATGGTAGACATAGAGGACCCAGTGACCGGCCGCGGGGATCTCCTCCGACTTCTTGGGACCGGAGGGGATCCTCCGAAGGGCAAATTGGCAACCTGGTCTCCAACATTTGAAGAAAGTGCGCGGAAGGGGGCATTCGCACGAATGGAAGGCATGAGGGAAAGTGTAGAAATTATAATAAAGGAGGCTTTTAGTAAAAAGGAATGGATCAAGATGGGTCTGCCCGTAAAGAAGAGGAGGCCAAAGGACGGGCCCCTGGGGGTTACGGTGGCGGAAAAGGAGCTGGAAGTTGAACTTGGGGTCAGCCTGCCCAAGCCAAAGGAAGGCCGTAAAAAGCCCCCGAGCTAACGCTCGAAATCCCAGACCTGTTGCAACTTGTTAAGGCAATCAGGTACCACAAGGTGGTCGTAGACCCCGTAGCGCTTGCTAAATTTGAGGACGGGGTCCGAAAAGGCTACTGCCTCAATGGGAAGGTTGTCAATCTTCAACCCCGTGCCATGGAGGTGGCAACGCCAATTCTGACCGTTCATTTTTTAGGAGAACGATCCCAGAAGGAAGTGTGCGAAAGTACAAACCTGTAGGCAAGAAGGCCAAGCCGGTCTCGATCCTGGTAGAAACATCAAAGGAAGAGGCCATGGAAAAGGAAGAGGAAATCCTACGGGTTATAAGGGAGAGGCGAGCAACGGAAGGGCATCGGATACCTGATGAGGTAGCAGATACTATGAAAATAGGAGTGGAAGGGTTCTTAACAGCGGAGGAAACTCAGTTGATAAGAAGGGCGTGCCAGGAGTTCCACTTAGCCTTTGCTTTCAACGATCATCAGAAAGGGCGACTGGACACAAAGCTAGTTCCTCCTATCAGGATCCACACCGTACAGCATGAGTGTTGGAATGATAAGGACCCGCATATGAGTTTGGGATAGCAGCGGAGGTCACCGACCTGCTTAGAGCCAAGATAGATTCCTTTGTGGCTGAACCCACCGCATCCCCCTACGCGAACAAGTGGTTCGTCTTCAGGAAGCCCAATAAGACGCTCAGGTGGATCCAGGACCTGCAGAAGCTAAATGCGGTAACAATTAGGGACACAGACTCGCTTCCACAGGCCGACTTATTGGCAGAATCTCATGTAGGGCGGAGCATTTACTCCCCGGTAGACTTGTACTCAGGATATKATCAGTTACCGCTCGACGCGAGGGATAGACCGTATACCACAACGCACACCCCCGTAGGACAGCTGCAGATGCAAGTGACCCCTATGGGCTTCACAAATGCGGTAGCAGAGGCACAGAGGAGGATGCTCGCCGTTGCAGGGGATATGTTTCCGGAAAAGTGTGAACCTTATATAGATGATAACCCTGTAAAAGGTGCAAGATACAAGGACGAGGCGGAGGTCCAACCGGGCATACGAAAGTTTGTTTGGGATCACTTGCAGGATATTAAGGACCTGCTCCAGCGATTCCTAGTTTACAATATTACTGCAAGCGGACCCAAGAGCATCCTGGCTGTCCCGGAGATAACTATACTGGGATTCCGCTGTGGGGCCTATGGGAGGAGACCCGACCCAGCAAAGACAGATAAGATCTCTCAGTGGTCGACACCCCTGCGTACCACAACGGAAGTACGAGCCTTCCTAGGGGTGGTTGGATTATGGAGGATCTTCATCAAAGGTTTCGCAAAGATAGCAGAACCTATCCTCGCGATGATTAGGGAAGGTGGCACTATGGATTGGACCGAGAATAGGGAAGAGGCAGCCCAGACCCTGAAAGACATCTTGTCATCCGATCAAGTCACTCTAGCAGCACCCTGTTTCAATGACGAGGTAGGACGGCCCTTCATCTTAGAAACAGATGGGGGACCGCTGGCAGTTGGAGGAGTATTGATACAGAGAAGCGAGGAGGGCAAGGAAAGGCCAATCAGATTTGAAAGTAGGACTCTGAATTCGGTAGAACGGCGGTACTCACAGTTCAAAAAGGAGGTCCTAGCGATTCTGCATTGTCTTAAGACCTTCCAGGCATACCTGTTCGGAAGGCGATTCATCTTAAGGATCGATCCCACCAATGTTGCCGGGCACTGAAGAATTACAAGCCTATAGATCCAACCGTCGGCACATGGATAAGCTTCATATGGCAGTTTGACTACAAGGTCGAGCGGATCGCGGGGCTTCGAAACAGGGCGGATGGGCTGAGTAGGGTATGCATCACGCCAGAGGGAATAGAGAACACGGAACCAATTGACGCCTTCCTAGATTACGAAGGGGGGGCCCTTGTTGTGAATAACGAAATGGCCGACCCAATGCTTACAACAGGCCAGCTGTTGATCCAGACCTTGGAAAAGGGCACGCCTGCAGTAGTTGCAGAACTCAGGGAAGGACCAGTCACCACAGTGAGGCGCAAAGAGGAAAATGACTCGTGGGGAGCAGAAGTTGGGGCTAGGGAGGAACCGATGGCAATGACCGTGGAAGGGGGACGGGACGCCATGATGACGTTGGCCAAAGCCTGGGCACAGAAGGAGTGTCAATACCTAGTCAACCTCACTTGGGAGGAGCAAGGTACGGATCAGAAGGAACAAGAGTTCTTCCTCATACATATGTACGAGGGCGTCTTCAAATAAATCGGTCTGCTGCTTGTAGGGAACAAACAACCCACGGAAGTCAGTCCGAAGGCAAGTGAGTAAGTCGAAAATTACGTCCTAAGAAATGGCCACCTGTTCAAGAAAGAGGAAGGAATGATGCCTAGACGCGTCGTTTGTGGGAGGTCTAGGCAGCTGGACGTAATTCAGGCAATGCATAACGGGTTAGCTGGAGGTCACCGGTCGTCTAAGGGGACACTTGCGAAGATTGTGCCCCTGTACTCTTGGCCAGGGATGGCAGGCATGGTCGCAACGTATTGTCAAACGTGTCTGATATGTCAAGAAAGGAGCTTCGTACGAGTTTACGAGCCCCTTAGACCCACTAGGGTACTGGGACCTGGACACCTGGTTCACCTCGATCTTGCGGTTGTGCCCGTATCAACGGATGGGTTTAGATACATCTTGGATGCAATGGATAATCTTAGTGGCTATGTAGAAGCCGTAGCCCTCAAGAAAAAGATAGGGAAAGCAGTGGCCGACTGGGAGGAAGATTTCTACCTAAGGCACCCCTTCGTGCGCAGGTTTATAGCAGACAATGGGACATAATTCGCTAACCAAGAGATGTTGAACAGGCTTAAGACATTGTGCATACCAATCAAGATCACTGAGCCCTACCACCCTGAGGCAAATGCACCAGTAGAAAGGGGGCACCGGACCTTGAAAAACACAATCGCTAAGCTTGCAGCAGACAACTTGGGGAATTGGCCACGGTTTCTCAAGCAGGCAGTCTTCGCCGAGAACATGACTCCAAAAAGAACAACGAGATGTATTCCAGCAGAACTCTGGTATGGAAGGGAGATCGATTTTTCGATAGAAGCTTTGGTCCCTACCTGGAACAGGCTAGATGACGATCCACACTTGAGCACGGAAGAGTTAATCACCGCACGTTGTCAGCAGGTCGCCAGAAATGAGGAGGCACTCGAGGAAGTAGTCAGTCGTGTGACGGATAGCCGAATGAGGGATAAAGCAAGATTGGACCAGGTCAAGAACATTCGGAAGGAGCCACTCCAGGTGGGGGAAAAGGTGCTAGTTAGGAACTTGGCTCTTGAAAACACATGGTCTGGGCAGCTGGGAAAGAGATTCAAAGGGCCTTACAGGATCACTAAGCGGGTGGGACTGAATACGTTCAAACTTGAGGATCTTGATGGTACTAGCATAAGAGGACCATTTCCGGGATAGAGAATGGTCAGATTTTTTCGCAGGGATCCGGTGGAACAGTGGCTACAAGAGGCCCAGGACAGGGAAACTGGGGAATTGACAGCCTGAAAGGCAGACAGATGGCTATAAGTTCTGGACCGCCTCCTTGTGGAAGTGATCATAACCACAGGGATTGTTCATTTGTGTGTCTTGACTTTTGTGGAACATGGGGAGACTGCCTGGGCTGGCTGTGACTAGGGCCTGGGAGCACGGGACAGTGTATTATAGTTTTTGTGGGGTAACGTTGGGGACTGTCTACACAAGGTATTTATGTGTTGGGACAATGTACCATAATTTTTGTGGGATGATGTTGTGGACTGCCTACATGGGGCACCTATGTGTTGGGACAATGTGTCGGGGGTTCTAAGGGATAATCGGGCTACCAACTATATGGGGGCAAGCAAGAGTTATAGGGAAGCCTCCAAAGTCGCAAATGGAAGTGGAAGGGAATGCGTGTGTATGAGGGGTACCGTGACTGTTATGTATGAACAGGGTCAGGCAAGAAGAAGAAAGACAACAAGAAAACGAAAAAATGGAGTTTGGGAATGAAAATGACAGCAATGCAATTAACAGGCCGGAAGAAGGACAGTCGTCAAGGCAAGCTCCAGGAAAAGGAAGTTGTATGTGGGGTTCGATCACAACCTAGTTGTGAACAGGGGGGGCAGAAAGCAAGGAACCAGGGGGTCATCGCCACTAAGGGAAGGGGAGCCAATAGTCCTCCCATCGGAAAGTGACACCAGCAGTGAGGAAGAGAGGAACCCGGGGAAAAGGCCAAGGTTGGAGGAGGACGTGCCCGTGGAGTTTATCGACCTCACCAGCGACGAGGAGGAAGATGAGGTAACAATGCCCACAAGGGAAGAACGGGGAAGAGGGGAGCAGCCGGGTGAGAAAAATGACAAATGGACAGAAGAGTTCGGACCTGAGTTCAGTGATTGGTTTGATCAATGGGGCATTATCTTGCGATATCAGTGGATTATGAAAGCAAGGGAAAAAATGGGCAGGGGAGAGGATCTATCCCCAACAACCTTCTTCACAGAACGGACACTCCTCCAGTTCCAAGGAATAAAGAGGCAAATGGAGCAGGAAATAGAGGATCGAGCAAGGAGGGAGGCTCAACGCAGGCCACCTGGACGATAGAGGCACAACAACCGAAATGAGGAATAGCTAGGAGTTGGGAGGGTTTGGTCCCTGGGCAGTCAAAGCTGCCATTTTGAACTTCGCATTTGAACTCTTTTGTGAATGCATTTTCTAAGCTCGAAGTAACTAAGGACTGGGTAGTCAGCGCTACTTCGTACGAATGTTTGCTTCTTCAGGGAAAGGCATGAGGATTTTTGCACTTAGAATAAAACTCTAGATGGCTAGACTAAGGGAAAGTAAGGGAAAAACAGAGGGAACTAGACGAGACGAGTCTGTAATGTTGTTTTGCATTCGAACTTTGTCTCCTTGTTTTATTTTTGGAAAGACTGCGATGTAGCTACTTTTTGGATTGAAGAAACTAGTAGGGGGTGGGTGACCGGTGCTACTTTATATGAGTATCTGCTCCTTTTGGGAAACATGAGCCTTTTGTAGTAAGAAAGGGACTCGGGGTGATTGACTTTGTCTCAAGGAGATGAGCAAGGGCATGTGAACTCTTGAATATTGGAAGAAACATTGATGACAAAAACTTTCTCTTTGAATTGTGTAACCATGGTTGAATGAGTCGTTACACGAGTCCTTGTGAGAGGTTAGGGGACCTATGGGTAAAGAGGCATCCTCTTCCCTAGGAGCCTAATCCAACTTATCCCAGGCAAGTCCAGAGCATTGAGATGTTATGAGAAGCCGGAAGAGCGGAAGGAACATTGAAATGAGTCAGCACCCCTTGCAATGGTTGAACGGTCGGGCGGGCTAGTGCTGCTTGGGGATGCGAGCCCCAATTTGAGCACTAGACGCTAAGTCGGATGTATGGAAGGATGTAAGAATGACAAATGGCATGAGGAAAGGGAAGAAGCATGCGTAAAAACCTAGGAAGATGGCTTCCTTCTAACCCCCGAGACGAGATAGGATCCGTGTCCTCGAGGCCCACCCCCTCGGGCGCTAAACCGTGAAATGAACAAGGATGGTCCTAACCAGGCTGTCCGACTGCAATGGATAAGAATGGCCCTAACTAGGGTGGTCGACTTGGAAATGGAAAGAACGACCCTAACCAGGTTGTTCGGAATGGCCCCTGACAAGGGTCATTCTTTAGAATTGGCACTGGGGTCCCCTTGCATGGCTGCTTGAGATGCATGAGATTAGAGGAACTGGGCCTCTGAAAAGATATTGGAAAGTGCGGAGCTTTGGAAAAGACATTGGAAGAACTGAGTCTTGGAAACGACATTGAAAGAGATATTGGACTCAGTCTGGGAAGAGATATTGCATTGAGCATTGGAATTGGACTGAGCATTGGGATGGGATTGAGCATGAAAGTGAGACTGAGCATGAACGTTGGATTGAGTACTGGAAAATTGTACGGCATAAACAGGGGACCCTAGGCAACTGAAAATGGATTTGGAAAGAGTTTGGAAATGGAATTTCTCCTTTTTTCTATTCTTTGGCCTCACCAAGAGGAGGATACCGGTGCATGCGCCGCAACCCCAAAGACCTCTATCCCTTTGAGGGAAAAAGTCTCAGCGCGACATGTTCCTCTTCGAGAGGGTAAGAGTTAAAGGACTAAGGCACCTACCACTTGGATCGGTGTGGGACGTCCGGAACCACCTCCGACAATGAGCTCTAGTCGGGAAGTTCAAACTGCGCCCCCTGTTGAATGCCTAAACGTCAAAGGGCGAGAAAGCCAAATGGGCGAGAGAGCCATTTTTATCTAAGTCTATTCTGCTACTCTCCAACCACACGCCATGTCATAGAGGGGTGCCATGGCCGTTTGGGCCGGACCACGACTGCCCGCGCTAAGTTGGGCGGCACTGTCCAAGGGGAGAGGCTGGGCGAGGTACCGGGTGGAGTTCGCCACCACCACGGGGCATTGACACTGCCTTGCCAGAATATTACAACCGTTTCGGGACTAATAGCGAGCTCTTCGTAACTGCATTCGTGAACTGATCGAGTGCCCCAACTCTCTTGAAAAGAAGAGGCCGGAATCCAGAAAACCACCACTCGGGAGGAACGATTCACGAGGAACACTCTTACGGCTAGACGAGGCCCTGGCAGGCTTGGATTGGACCTACCTGACAGACGCGGGGAGGAACCTCAGTAATGGTGTTCGCCACGTGAGAGAATAAAGGTCGGACCGGGTAGAAGGATGGGGCATCATTTGCTGGGGAGGAACTGATCACTCCTCCTTTTGTGAAGCGGATGGGCTTGTGTCCTTGACTTGCGGTTGGCGGACCAAAGGTCTGCGTACCTCCGAGTGAGAAACAGTCGCACGATGGGGACATCGCGTTTTGAGTGGGGGGAAGGTGCGCCATCTACCAATAAAAACGCATGGAAAAAGACATGTAATTGGTTTTGCATGGGCCTGAGAAAAGGGGTCTGGCAAGATGCCCAGAAAAGAAAAAGACTTGTAATTGGTTTTGCATGGGTCTGAGAAAAGGGGCCTGGCAAGACGCCCAGAAAAGAAAAAAACTTGTAATTGGTTTGCATGGGCCTGAGAAAAGGGGGGGGGCCTGACAAGAGGCCGGGACAGAAGGGACTTAAGCAAGCGACACAGTATGAACTTGAGAAAAATGGCTTGGCAAGATAGCCAGGTAGGAAAGGACTGGTGAGATTGATTCTGCGTGGACTTGAGAAAGGAACTGGCAGACTGAGAGTTGGTTGTGTAATTGGCTCGTATAAGCTTGAAAAGATGAGAAGTGGC